CAACTTCTTCTACGGCCCGGGCCACATAACAGACAGCCAAGGCCGCCCGCTCTGCCAGTCCGCCGCCCGGACGCTCGCCCTGGGCGGCAACTGCGTCGTTTTCGACGCGACTCTGGCCCCGCTTTGTTCATCTGAAGTGCAGAAAGAAGCGAGTGCATGCAAGCTGTTCTGCTCCACTAATATGTCCTCTTCGGGGAGGTTCCAGGAGAATGCTCAGTGTGGTGGGCTGGGGACGTGTGAGGCTGTGGTTGGGAGTGCTGGGACTGCTTCTGGTGCTAGTGGTAGGGGTGGTGCTGCTGGCAGTGTCGGCGGGGAAAGCTTGAGCAACAGCAGCAGAACCACCACCGGCAGCAGCAACAACAGCAGCAGCAGCAGCAGCAGCAGCGGCGGCGGCGGCGGCAGCAGCAGCAAGAAAAGCGGCAAAACTGGCAGCAAGAGTGGCAGCAAGGGTGGGAAGCAGAGCAGTACAGCAGCAACAGCATCAACAGCAGCATCAGGGGCAGCAGCAGTGGATACAGGAAGAGTGAGCTTTGGGTGCAACTGCCTGGCTGATATCGCCGTGCCCACTGCAGACGGCATGTCCTGTGCTCTTATCGGTAAGTGCTCTTATCGATGGGTGCTCTTACCGGCGGGGTCTTATCAGCGAGTGCTCTTATCGGCGAGTGCTCTTATCGGCGAGTGCTCTTATCGGCGAGTGCTCTTATCGGCGAGTGCTCTTATCTGTGAGTTCTCTTATGAATTGGTCCAGGTGCACGATGTCCACGCGCGCAACTTGGTCCTGTTTAGACCACTAACTACCACTCTCAACACCTCTGTGCAGACACCATATGTGCCCATTCCTTTTTCACGCATCACTTAAAGGCTGTAGCTTTGAGTCTTTTAGAGCCAGTCTTTTAACCTGTTTTCAAGCCCGTAGAGACTATGCTTCCAAGCCAATATTCTTCCAAGCCACTATTCTTCCAAGCCAATATTCTTCCAAGCCACTATTCTTCCAAGCCACTATTCTTCCAAGCCAATATTCTTCCAAGCCACTATTCTTCCAAGCCACTATTCTTCCAAGCCACTATTCTTCCAAGCCACTATTCTTCCAAGCCACTATTCTTCCAAGCCACTATTCTTCCAAGCCTGTAAATTCAATCTGTGTTTCCAAGCCTCTTAAAACCGGGGTGCACATTCACCTGGGTGGGCATCATGGGATAACCTTTGATGCCCACATAGCCAAATTTCGCCCCAACCCCCAGAAATTTTGTTCCCCATCCCCCCCAATTTCTGAATTTGTACCCCGGTTTTAAGACTGTCTCAATTCTTAGGTGCCTCAAAAATTGCCTCTGAAGACTCTGTCCCATACGCAAAAATTGTCTCAAAAATTGTCTCAATAATTGTCTCTTTAGGTTCTCATCCTGTTTCATACGCACTGCATCTCCCACTATCCCCACCTTCACTCTTTCAAACCTCATTTTGATCCTTACTGCATCTCCCACTTCCCCCCACCCCCCCCCCCTTGCAAATACCCCCTATTTCCCGCTTATGATGTGCTCTTCTCTGCTCTCCTCCCCTCTCCTTCCCTCCCCTCTCCCCACTGCAGCCAAGCCTCCCTCACCACCGCCTCCCCCCAGCCCCCCCCCTCGGCCCCCCCCTCGCCCCCCTCGCCCTCCCCCCTCTCCTCCACCTCAGCCTCCCCCAAGCCCTCCCCTTAGCCCTCCCCCTCAACCTCCCCCCAGTCCTCCCCCTAGCCCACCTCCCCCCAGCCCTCCCCCGAACCCTCCCCCTCAACCTCCCCCCAGCCCTCCCCCAAGCCCCCCTCCTAACCCCCCTCCCCCCAGCCCACCTCCCCCTAACCCTCCCCCAAATCCACCCCCACAACCCCCCCCCAATCCTCCTCCTCAACCTCCCCCCAGCCCTCCCCCCAGCCCTCCTCCTAGCCCTCCCCCAAGCCCCCCGCCGAGCCCCCCTCCCCCTAGCCCACCTCCCCCAAGCCCTCCCCCGAATCCTCCCCCTCGACCTCCCCCCAGCCCGCCCCCAAGCCCCCCGCCTAGCCCCCCTCCCCCCAGCCCACCTCCCCCTAGCCCACCTTCCCCCAACCCTCCCCCTAATCCTCCCCCTCAACCTCCCCCAGCCCGCCCCCAAGGCCCCCACCAAACCCCCTCCCCCTAGCCCACCTCCTCCCAGCCCTCCCCCTAGTCCACCCCCTAATCCTCCCCCCAGCCCTCCCCCTAATCCTCCCCCTCAACCTCCCCCCAGCCCGCCTCCAAGCCCCCCACCAAATCCCCCTCCCCCTAGCCCACTTCCCCCCAGCCCTCCCCCGAATCCTCCCCTCAGCCTCCCCCCAGCCCACCCCCAAGCCCCCCTCCTGATCTCCCCCCCCCCAGCCCGCCTCCCCCCAGCCCTCCCCCTAACCCTCCCCCTAATCCTCCCCCCAGCCCTCCCCCGAATCCTCCCCCCAGCCCTCCCCCAAAACCCCCACCTAATCCCCCTCCCCCTAGCCCTCCTCCCCCAAACCCCCCACCCAATCCCCCTCCCCCCAGCCCACCTCCCCCATCCCCACCACCCAGCCCCCCTCTCACTTCAGCTCTGCTTCTTGAATCAACCACCCTTGCCCCGCTTTCTCCCTCACCAACACCACCAGCTCCTCCCCCTCCCCCCTACGTCCCCCCTCCCCCCATCCCGCCTCCCCCCTCGCCTCCCCCTCCTCTTCCCCCTTCACCCCCCCCTCCCCCTCCTCCTCCACCTTCACCCCCTTCGCCCCCGCACCCACCACCGCCCCCACCCCCGCCGCAATTGTGCATGTGGAATGGAAGCAAATGGGTCTGCCCGCCGGGTCAGGGTGCACCTACTTGGTCGCCAATTGTCTAAACAAATACACTTTTTTTTTTGGCTATGAATATATGGACCAGTCGACCTCAACACTCGTAGCTGGCTATCTGTTTGTGAAGACCGAAGATTGGTATGGATTTGTGACGTTGGCCATTGACAAAGCTTTAATAATTTTCCCTCCTTTTGTGGTTGATATGGTGTATCTCCTAGGTTGTATATGGGTACATGCACTCTGTATGGTACTATAACGAACAATATAGCCAGCCGCATATTCCGAGGCTGATGGGTATGAAACGTCTGAATGGCACCACACTCGACCGTGCTTGATGCCTCTCATTCACCTCGCTCAAACGCGATTCCTTCTGTGACACACCCCCGGTAAAGTTACCTGTCAATTCCGTCCATCCACCTTCCTCGTCCGCCTTTGTTTGCTCTGTTTGCTTTCACTTTCACAGGTACCAAAAACGGCCGCAAAGCAAGCAAGCGAAGTTCCAAGCACTGCCCTTGCACCTCATATCGTGATCATGATTGACAGCCGCGGCCGACGGAGCTCGTGACTAAAGTGGGAAGCGAGTTGCCCTTGCTCCGAGCTTTTTCCTTTTATGTATTAACTCAGCAATCTCGTGAAATTTCGGATGCCGATAGTGCCTCTGGTCTAGCAAATATGATCTCGTTTGCTTGCTTGCAACATGTGCAAAACTGCGTTATCGAAGTGTGTCAAGCGTGCAACCCGGAGGTGCTTCCTCTCTCCGACATTTCATTTTTCTTAACTCGAGGCCCGGTTCTGATCATTTCGTTCGTCCTGGAAGAACTTAGCTCAGATGTTCGCTCGTTATTTGCATCAATACGCCGTCACGTTGACTAAGAAGACCTGAACCGTTAATTTTCATGTGCCATGTCATATTGATAGTTTTCACAGGTCATGCTTACGAAATACCTCTGATTTTTGCCCATGGTTAACAATAATCTACCTCTTTCCACTAGTTCTCTCCTATTTCAAGCAGAACTCCCTCACAACCTACGGCGATCAGCCGTGCATATCTGGAAAGTTGGACTAGGAAGATTTCGGCGAGTTCCCTCCGAGACCCCCCCTTCGCCCCTGCGGGATTTCCCTCGCGGGATTTCCCTCGCGGGATTTCCTTCGCGAGTTGGACTAGGGATTCACCTAACTTCTCTCTCGTGCGTCTCAGCAATTATTTCTCTGCTCTCCATCACGCTCTGGCACTCAGCTGTTTCATAGCGTTCCAATGTAACAAGACGCTGGATGTAACGGTCACGAAATGCCAAACCCTTCGCATGTTGCTTTCTTCTTGGCAGAGCGTTGCCTCCACCTGACGCCACCCCGCGATATTGAGATGTAACCTTTCACAAAATCGTCAAACCGCATACCGTATCCGTCGACAAGAAAATTCTTCGTTAAAAAAAACACTTTCCGGGCAGCTTTATCAAGGGATACCTCGGTGAAAGTGCTGGTTCGGGGGGAGATCGACCCGGTCACCGCACTGAAACCTCGCGTTTTGCATACGAAAGGTACAAAAACGTTTACAACCGCGCGAAAGAACGAACCTGAGGCGATCGATTCTCCACTTTTACTGCGTTCTCACATCTCGCATTTCAGCATCACAGCTCCCCTCCATTTTTGACAAGCCCCGATTCTCACGAGCCTCGTTCACGTTGACCTATTTCCCCGTTCTTTTGTCCACTTTTTTTCTCACATTATTGTGTGACGTGGTTTCTGGCTGGTTCGCGTAGTGGAAATGGCTAAGCACAGAGATAGGGATACCCCAACGAGGCATGTGCATCCGCCACGTGTCCTCGGCTCCGCCAATCACGACACAGACAACGAGTCTGGCGGCGGCGGCGCGGCCGCATCTGGCGGCAGCGGATTCGGCCGGCACCGGCCACCGCGGGATGCGGGGGGAGAAAGAGTACGGTTCAGATCGGTTCAGGGAGAAGGAGAGCGAGACAAAGAGAGGGACAGAGAGAGAGAGAGGGAGAGAGAAAAGGCAGGAGAGAGAGAAAAGGATCGGGATAGGGATAGGGATAGGGAGAGAGAGAGCGCGCGGGAGAAAGGGCACAAGGGCCGCGCCGCGGATAAAGTCACAAGCGAGGGAGGAATAAGCGACAGCGAGAGAGGCCGCGACGCGAAATGGGAGGAGCGCGGCGAAGAGTCGCAGAGTCTGCGCATGGCGGATGGCGGCGGCGCGTTTGGCGCCGAGAAGGACGGCCATTTGGGCGGGTCGAGCGTCCCCAGCGCGGAGCGGTCGCGACGGCAGGTCAGGCCGCGATTGGTGGGGCAGATCGGGCGAGATGGACGGTCACGATATAACAAATCAAAAGACGGGTGCGTATTCCCTTTGCTCTGCATTCTGCTTGCTATTCTATGTTGCTGCCCCCCTCTTCAAGCTACACCTGCTGCCTCCCTCACACCTCGCTCACTACCAACTCCTCCTCATTCGCCTTTGAGAATTCTCAAAAGTGACCCCCTTCCCCCTGGTGGCCCGTCCCCCCGTCCTCCGATTTCCCCTTTCCCTGCCCCACCCGCTTCTCCCATCCCCCTTGACTCAACCCTGCCCACCCCTTCTCCCTTCCTTTCCGCCCCTCCCCACCCCCTTCAGCACGCTGCAAGCCCCCGAGCCTCCGCCGCTCTTCCCGTACCGAGAGGGCGAGGGAATGCCGGACCTCTCCAAGCTGCTTCGGCACTCCGACTGCCTCTCCCACGGCCCCCCTGCCTCCTCCGACCCTCCGTCTTTTTCTGCCGCCGCCGTCGAGACTGCTGGTGTTTCTGGTGGTGGTGACGCTGGTTGTGGGAAAGTGGGCTCTGAGGGGGAAAGAGAGGGGGGAGTTGACAAGGAGGGGGGCGAAGGGGGCGTGAAGGACGATCCTATGGATCATGATGGTGCATCTGCTGCTGCAAGCGATGGCGCTGGTGCTGCAGATGCCGCCACCGCTGCTGCCACCAGTGGTCCTATTCCTGTAGCAGCAGCAGGGGCGTATCAGCAGCAGCCGGCAGTGGAGATCTCCGTGCCGCCCGAATCTATCACCACTGCCAACCGCCAAGTGCGGTCGCGCCAGCTGTGGGGCACTGACGTGTACACTGACGACTCGGATATTGTCGCAGGTGTGTTACACGTAACACGGCTACCACATTGCACTCGTAATGCCTGTATCTGCTAATCTGTTCCCATCTCCCTCTTGTCATCTCCCGCACTTCTGATGCATATGGGATACATCACATGATCAATCACACCCGTCTCAGTGCCCCCACCCACCCGCATCCATAGTGAAATTTCCTTGTCGTCTATCTCACCACTCTCTCCCCCCTCCCCCTCCCCGTCCCTTCCCCTCTCCGCCCCCATGTTCCTCCTTCCTGGTTTCCCGCAGTGCTCATGCATGTGGGATACATCACACCCGTCTCAGTGCCCCCACCAGCATCCATATCCTCCTTAAACAACATTCCCTCCCCCCCCCCCCTTCTCTTCTCCCCCTGTGGTCTCGTTTCATGCAGTGCTCATGCATGTGGGATACATCACACCAGTCTCAGTGCCCCCACCAGCATCCATAGCCGAGCTCCGAGCCACCATTCGCGTGCTGCCACCTCAGCCCTGTACGTCATGCCACCTCAGCCTTTTACTTGTGCTACCTCAGACTTATTGCTTGCCACGTCAGCAGGTTATACCTGTGCTGTGCGTGCTAAGATAAGATGTGCCATTGCCCACTTGTCTGCTTTCCCCTTTAACCTAACTTCGTATGCCTGTTCCTGCCATCTCTAACTTTGCTCGTGTGTGTGCGTCTGCTCGCATGCATTTCCATCTACCCATGCGTGTTTGCATGCGTTTGCCCTCTTTTTCACCTCCTCCGTTCCCCAGCCTACCGCTCCTCCTCGCGCAACAGCATGCGGTCAAGGGCATGGGGGTCAGGCAAGGGCACATGTAGCTATGCAGTGGAGAGCTGCAGAATCATCAAGGTATGTGTCTTAAAGCTGTGCGAAGGGCGCTAGACATTTGGAACTTCTGAGGCGCCGCACAAGGAAGGCATGGGGGTCAGGCAAGGGCACATGTAGCTATGCAGTGGAGAGCTGCAGAATCATCAAGGTATGTGTCTTAAAGCTGTGCGAAGGGCGCTAGACATTTGGAACTTCTGAGGCGCCGCACAAGGAAGGCATGGGGGTCAGGCAAGGGCACATGTAGCTATGCAGTGGAGAGCTGCAGAATCATCAAGGTATGTGTCTTAAAGCTGTGCGAAGGGCGCTAGACATTTGGAACTTCTGAGGCGCCGCACAAGGAAGGCATGGGGGTCAGGCAAGGGCACATGTAGCTATGCAGTGGAGAGCTGCAGAATCATCAAGGTATGTGTCTTAAAGCTGTGCGAAGGGCGCTAGACATTTGGAACTTCTGAGGCGCCGCACAAGGAAGGCATGGGGGTCAGGCAAGGGCACATGTAGCTATGCAGTGGAGAGCTGCAGAATCATCAAGGTATGTGTCTTAAAGCTGTGCGAAGGGCGCTAGACATTTGGAACTTCTGAGGCGCCGCACAAGGAAGGCATGGGGGTCAGGCAAGGGCACATGTAGCTATGCAGTGGAGAGCTGCAGAATCATCAAGGTATGTGTCTTAAAGCTGTGCGAAGGGCGCTAGACATTTGGAACTTCTGAGGCGCCGCACAAGGAAGGCATGGGGGTCAGGCAAGGGCACATGTAGCTATGCAGTGGAGAGCTGCAGAATCATCAAGGTATGTGTCTTAAAGCTGTGCGAAGGGCGCTAGACATTTGGAACTTCTGAGGCGCCGCACAAGGAAGGCATGGGGGTCAGGCAAGGGCACATGTAGCTATGCAGTGGAGAGCTGCAGAATCATCAAGGTATGTGTCTTAAAGCTGTGCGAAGGGCGCTAGACATTTGGAACTTCTGAGGCGCCGCACAAGGAAGGCATGGGGGTCAGGCAAGGGCACATGTAGCTATGCAGTGGAGAGCTGCAGAATCATCAAGGTGGGAGCTGTGCCTTGTAGCTTCTGAGGGCGCATTCCTAGCCTCGGGTCTTCCGGTGTTTGGGTCTTCCGAAATGGTGGGATCCAATCTGAAAATTGAAATCTCGAACCGTGGGTTTTCCGATTGGATCCCACATTTTCGGAAGACCCAAACCACCGGAAGACCCGAAGCCAAGAATGCGCCCTGAGTCTATCCAAGGCAATTCTTTGCAACTAGGGTCCATACGAGTTGAGAGCTTCTTGAAGTGCTTAAATCTCGGATTGTGTCTCAATTTAGCTAATTGTGCCATGTCTCAACCCTTCCCCCCGCTCCCCCAATCTCCTCCTTCACTCTCCCATCACGCAGCATGACGGCACCAGCATCGACCTGGAAGCTTCCTCTGCCCGCACTCCCCCAGTGGGCCCCACGCTTGTGCCCGCAGCGGTCGAGCGCACTATGACCACCCGCGCCTCCTCCTCCGTGCGGGTGCGTGCCGCCCTGCCCCCATGTCCCTGTGCGGGTATGTGCCGGCCTCCACGCCCTGCCCCCATGTCCCTGTGCGGGTATGTGTGAGCGAGAATCTTCTCTTTGGGTTCCACGGCTCACTCACTCTCGATCTCGCAGCGGTCGAGCGCACCATGACCACCCGTGCCTCCCCTCCGTGCGGGTACATGGAAGGGGGACCTATGCACTCTAGTAATTGCCCTCCTGTGCACTTCTTTTGCACTGCACGCATGTAGACCTGTGGACACATAGTGCATACTAAATCAGAATTGTGCCACTCTTTACCCAAATCAGATTTCTGTGTGCCCTGTTGCTGCTCCTCTCATCCCCTCTCCCTCCACCAATCAGAACGCGCACAGGCACCAGCGCTTTGTGCAAGAGGTGACTCTACAGTATAACCTCTGTAACGAGCCCTGGTGAGTCAACGAGCCCTGGTGAGTGCACTGTCAATGCACATGGCCTCGTAGCATGGCAGATCGCATGGCAGATCGCATGGCACATCGCAAGGCAGGTCGCAAGGCAAGAAGTCACTCTACAGTACAACCTCTGCAACGAGCCCTGGTGAGTCAACGAGCCCTGGTGAGTGCACTGTCAATTCACATGCCCTAGGGACGCATGGCACGTCGCATGGCAGGTCGCATGGCAAGAAGTCAATCTACAGTATAACCTCTGTAATGAGCCCTGGTGAGTCAATGAGCTCTGGTGAGTCAACGAGCCCTGGTGAGTCAACGAGCCCTGGTGAGTGCACTGTCAATTCACATGCCCAAGGGACGCATGGCACGTCGCATGGCAGGTCGCATAGCAAGAGGTGACTCTACGAGTGATTTTTGAGAATTCTCAAAAATCACTCGCAAGGACTCTACAGTACAACCTCTACAACGAGCCCTGGTGAGTTCACTCTGCCCTACGTCGCATGGCAGGTCGCCTGGTGGTGAGTCAGTCAACGAGCCCTGGTGAGTCAACACTTGGTCAACGAGTTCTCTCATACTCAATGGCAATTATTGCCGACCATGGGCTGAAGCGGCCTCAGTACACACCGCTTCTTTCCCCACCCTCCCCAACCCAACCCAACCCAACCCAACCACCAGGCTCAAGTATTCAATGGCCATTATCGCGGACCACGGGTTGAAGCGGCCTCAGTACACATCAGCGCGACTCAAGCGGGCCGAAGTCCTGTACCTGGAAACAACCACACACAGGTGAGTGGCTGGGGGCGACTTTTAGGCGCCTCATAAGCGGCCACAGCTTTTAGTGGGCCTTCTGAAATAGCGGCCTCAGTACACATCAGCGCGGCTCAAGCGAGCCGAAGTGCTGTACCTGGAAACGGCCACGCACAGGTGAGGGAGAGAAGGGCATTTTCAATTTGAGGCGCCTCAGAAGCGACCTCTGCTATACAAGAGTTCTTCTCAGTACACTTCAGCGCGGCTCAAGCGAGCCGAATTGCTGTATCTGGAAACAGCCATGCACAGGTGAGAGTACGGCACTTCTGATTTGAGGCGCCTCAGAAACAGCCTCCACTTTTCAAGTGCCTTTTCAAAAGAGGGTTCTTTGAGGTGCCTTAGAGGGTTCTTCGAGGGTTCTGCTTCTAAAAAGGCGTGTGCACTGTCTTCCACTCGGTTGCGCAATTTAAGACATTTCAAGTCTGTTGAAGCGGTTTCTGCTTCTGAAAAGGCGTGTGCACTGTCTTCCACTCGGTTGCGCAATTTAAGACATTTCAAGTCTATTGAAGCGGGTTCTGCTTCTGAAAAGGCGTGTGCACTGTCTTCCACTCGGTTGCGCAATTTAAGACATTTCAAGTCTATTGAAGCGGGTTCTGCTTCTAAAAAGGCGTGTGCACTGTCTTCCACTCGGTTGCGCAATTTAAGACATTTCAAGTCTGTTGAAGCGGTTTCTGCTTCTGAAAAGGCGTGTGCACTGTCTTCCACTCGGTTGCGCAATTTAAGACATTTCAAGTCTATTGAAGCGGGTTCTGCTTCTGAAAAGACGTGTGCACTGTCTTCCACTCGGTTGCGCAATTTAAGACATTTCAAGTCTATTGAAGCGGGTTCTGCTTCTAAAAAGGCGTGTGCACTGTCTTCCACTCGGTTGCGCAATTTAAGACATTTCAAGTCTATTGAAGCGGGTTCTGCTTCTGAAAAGGCGTGTGCACTGTCTTCCACTCGGTTGCGCAATTTAAGACATTTCAAGTCTATTGAAGCGGGTTCTGCTTCTAAAAAGGCGTGTGCACTGTCTTCCACTCGGTTGCGCAATTTAAGACATTTCAAGTCTATTGAAGCGGTTTCTGCTTCTGAAAAGGCGTGTGCACTGTCTTCCACTCGGTTGCGCAATTTAAGACATTTCAAGTCTATTGAAGCGGTTTCTGCTTATGAAAAGGCGTGTGCACTGTCTTCCACTCGGTTGCGCAATTTAAGACATTTCAAGTCTATTGAAGCGGGTTCTGCTTCTAAAAAGGCGTGTGCACTGTCTTCCACTCGGTTGCGCAATTTAAGACATTTCAAGTCTATTGAAGCGGTTTCTGCTTCTGAAAAGGCGTGTGCACTGTCTTCCACTCGGTTGCGCAATTTAAGACATTTCAAGTCTATTGAAGCGGGTTCTGCTTCTAAAAAGGCGTGTGCACTGTCTTCCACTCGGTTGCGCAATTTAAGACATTTCAAGTCTATTGAAGCGGTTTCTGCTTCTGAAAAGGCGTGTGCACTGTCTTCCACTCGGTTGCGCAATTTAAAGCTCAAGGCCCAAATTGTTCAACCTTACTAAGGTTGACCGCTGAGCTGTGGGGGAGGCACTTACAAAAGTAGGTTGGGGTGTTGAGCGAGGGGTTAGACTTTCGCACGGCACCTCGCTACACTTTGAAGGGGTGGGGTCTTCGTGTTTGGTTTCGGAAGTCCCAAGTTGTCCCATGCTATTTCACAAGTTTCCTATCAGCAAGGCATCAAGATTACTAATCATGCCCTGCGCGATCCGCAATTTGGGTCTAGAGCTTTAAGACATTTCAAGTCTATTGAAGCGGTTTCTGCTTCTAAAAAGGCGTGTGCACTGTCTTCCACTCGGTTGCGCAATTTAAGACATTTCAAGTCTATTGAAGCGGTTTCTGCTTCTGAAAAGGCGTGTGCACTGTCTTCCACTCGGTTGCGTTGAGGTCGTTTTTGAGGCGCCTCAAAAACGACCTCAATGCACGAGGCAGAGGGTGTGTAGAGGTCGTTTTTGAGGCGCCTCAAAAACGACCTCAATGCACGAGGCAGAGGGTGTGTAGAGGTCGTTTTTGAGGGGCCTCAAAAACGACCTCAATAAAGGCTTGTGTACTGTCTTCTACTCGGTTGCGCAATTTAAGACATTTCAAGTCTATTTCCCGCAAATTCAAGTCTATTTAAGGCCTTTTCCCACATATTCAGATTTATTCTCCCCTGCCTCTTCTCCCGGCCCTTGCAGGTTTGAGTTGAGTTACGAACCTGTGTCGGCTCGCAAGGTCTTCTACTCTCTAGCGCTCTCCCAAGCCCAGCAGCAGCAGACACAACCCCACACTATGTCACTTGATGCTGCTAATGCCAAGGCTGATGGGGCTGCTGCTGCTGCTGCGGATGCTGGTGCTGTTGGTGCGGTAAGGGAAGGAGGGGTAGATGCTGGAGGAGAGAAGGAGGAGCAAGGTGGGGGAGCGGGAGAGAGGAACGAAAGAGAGAAGGGGGCAGCAGAGGAGGGAGAGGGAGTCGAGGGGTCTAAGGGAGGAAATGAGAAGCTAAGGGAGGGAGGATCAGAGAGCAAAGCAGCAGACGGAGAAGGGAAAGGGCACCCAGAAGCACCAGCTCACGCCCCATCCAAGGCACACACAAGCAGCGCTGCAGCAGCCGATGCTGCAAACGCCAACTCTCCCAACACAAACAGCACCTCTGCAGCTCCCTCTTCAGCTGTGGCAACAGCAGGAACAGCAGCAGGGGGCAATCTGAGTGGCTCGAAACGACCCTTCTCTCTCTTCTCCTCTCCTCCCAGGGTCCTAGGCAACACCAGCGCCAACCCTGAGACCCAGTGGGTTCTGCCGCAAAGTGCGTTGGTGCACCTTCATGGGAAGGGCAAGGGGCCGAGAGACACTTACCGGTGGACCCAGTGTGTTCCGCCCCTCCCTCTCGACCAGCTTCGCTCCCACGGCTGCCCTCTGCCTGCCTCTTTTACCAAGGTACGCCCTTAGAGTGCCGGTGGGTTCATCCTCAAGTGTCTCAGTCAGCCCACGTGCATGGGAAGGGCAAGGGGCCGAGGGACATGTACCGGTGGACTCAGTGTGTTCCGCCCCTCCCTCTCGACCTGCTCCGCTCCCACGGCTGCCCTCTCCCTGCTGCTTTCACCAAGGTATGTCTTCAAAACCCACCAAGGTAAAGCTGAATGAAACCCAGTGGGTACTGTCGTCAAGTGCACCCAGTGGGTACTGTCGTCAAGTGCTGTGTCCCACGTGCATGGGAAGGGCAAGGGGCCGAGAGACACGTACCGGTGGACCTAGTGTGTTCCGCCTCTTCCCCGCGACCAGGTGCACTCCCATGGCTGCCTTTTCAGGCGCCTCAAAAGTCGTTCCCCGCGACCAGGTGCACAGTGCACTCCCATGGCTGCCTTTTGAGGCGCCCCAAAAGTCGTTCCCCGCGACCAGGTGCACTCCCATGGCTGCCTTTTGAGGCGCCTCAAAAGTCGTTCCCCGCGACCAGGTGCACTCCCATGGCTGCCTTTTGAGGCGCCTCAAAAGTCGTTCCCCGCGACTAGGTGCACTCCCATGGCTGCCTTTTCAGGCGCCTCAAAAGTCGTTCCCCGCGACCAGGTGCACAGTGCACTCCCATGGCTGCCTTTTGAGGCGCCCCAAAAGTCGTTCCCCGCGACCAGGTGCACTCCCATGGCTGCCTTTTGAGGCGCCTCAAAAGTCGTTCCCCGCGACCAGGTGCACTCCCATGGCTGCCTTTTGAGGCGCCTCAAAAGTTGTTCCCCGCGACCAGGTGCTCTCCCATGGCTGCCCTCCCAGCCACCTTAATAATCATTAGCCTTTGACTTTCTCGAGCTTTCCTCCTCCTGTTCAGATCCTCGAGAGTGGCGTGGCATGG